AAGCGAGGTATCTCTCGAGTTAAGCTCGTCGTATACCAGAAAAAGGATGGAAAGATATTTCAACTCTATGGTTCACAACGTCGTATACCAGAAAAAGGATGGAAAGATATTTCAACTCTATGGTTCACAACAAAAATTTCAAAATAGTGGACTTAGTCCTGAACAGGGTATTTGACGTAGACAAAAATATCAGTTCAAGTTTGTTTTGTTCCAAGTGAGAAAGACTATGTACAATAGTTGAAGTCGTAGGATCAGGAGCATATAAGCTCGTTGGAAAGGGAGTGAGCACGTTAAACATTTGTGGAATAGCGTGTAATTGAGAAATATTATCAATAAAATGAAAATGAGTTCTTATCGAATAAAATCAACAAAGGTAATCTCCTCTTATTTGTGAAGTTATCTACGTTCTATTCTTGTTGTGCGAAGATAATCAACTTAATTAATTATCTACATACAAGGTCAATAAAGCCAAATAACGGTTGTGAAGCAAAAAAGAATGATAAGACAAAAATTCTCATTAATAAAAAGAAAAGTTATATAAGACAAATAACACTTACGAGTTAACCTTTGCCCAAAGCAAGCTCTAAAAGTTGACCAAGCTTTTGTAGGAAGGAAATGCATTAGAGTTTATCACAATATCTAGAACTATTACTCCTTGAAAAAAAAAAAAAGACAGCATATAAACCATAAACAAGAGGTGCAAGATACAAAGTAGGATGACATCTTTTTTAAGTGAGGGTAAACCCTTCTACTCAAATGCATAAACGAAGACGAACCTCAGTACGTAATGAAAGAAATCCATGAGGGTATATGTGAAAACCATTCTAGTGGATGTTTTCTAGCACAAAAGACAATGAAACAAGGTTATTATTATATCCAATTACATCAAAGTTCTATTCCTGTTGTACGAAGCCAACCAATGAATTAATTATATAACATACAAGCTCAATAAAGCCAAATAAAAGTTGCAATGCAAAAAAGTATGATAAGATAGAAATTCTCATTAAAAAGAAAAGTGCACGTTCTGCTATCTGAATCTATTACATAGCTAAAAGGCATATTCTACGAATTAAACTATCCTGTACATCCACTATTCTTACAAAGATCCCTTAAGCCAAGAGATAAAGGGAAAACCAAGAACAAAAAAATTCCTTTTGCCCAAAATAATCTCTAGAAGTTAACCAGACGTTTGTTGAGGAGGAAATGCAAGAGGGTTTATCACAATATCTGGAACTATATGCCTTACATAGTGATCCCTCGCAAATCTACATATGTGAAAAATGTAAAAGCACAACAAACTTGTGAGCTTTTGAATACTTCTCTAACATTTTTTGGATTATATATGCCAAAATTGAAATTGCAGATATGTAATTGTAGCATGCAGAAGAAAAATTAAGGTAATTCCAAGATGTCTTCTGGTTATATGAGTTACTGTCGTAAGGTTGTGGAATAAAAAATGAAGATGAAAAACGAGTAACAAAGCTTAAAGAAATTCTAGGAAGAAAAAGAAGTTTCCCCCTAGAATCAATAACAAACCAAAAATCAAATTGCACTTTCTGTAGTTAAGAAAAATGAATGCAAGTACTAAAATGGTACACATATACAAAACATACAACCATGAACAAGCATATAACGAATGTGTAGAATGAAATAAAGTCAAAAGGGCATTATTTAGAATTACGAGTGAATTAGCATTAAAGAAAAGGAAAATTTCTATCTCGTCGAAACATTAAATGGCAATAAATTATTGGGCAAAGTCACTAGAGAAATTTGCAGTCCTAAACCTTGTATAATTGAAGTCCTAAATTTAATATATAAGGATTATTTGTTGAATTGAGAAGTACACACTATGAACTTCGCCTACTATTCGCAAAATGAAAGTCACCCGAAGGAGACAGAAGCTTAAAAGTTTGCATAAAGTAGGCAAACCATTCTCCATCTAGGATAGCTACAAGTTGCTCACATAAATTACACGTAGGCTGATAAATAAAAATGTGATTCTCTTAACATAATTGGTTACAAGCTAGCTAGTAAGAAGATGCCATCTATCATTCTTCCTAAATGACCAAATTGCCCCAAAATTTGGAGGAAAATCTATAAATACCATCACCTCTGATGAGAAGAAAGATACAATTTAAGTACCTCTACCTCAAATAGTCATTTATCCTTTTGCTCCAATTTTTAGCATCGAAATTAGTGAGTTTAAGAGGTGAAGATCCTGGTTATGTGAGAGAATTTGTTGATCTGATGTCCATCATAGTAGGATCTATCAATAAATTAGAGTTTTTTTCTTACTGACAAAGCGATCATCATTGCGACTCCAGGAGGCATAGATATCTCCTGTGAGCTACTGAGAAATAAGCACTAAGCCTAGATTATCGAAATGATGAAGAAAGAAGGGACTAGAAGGTTCATCAATGGGGGACTTGCTCAAAGATAACCTTGCATAAAAAGTGTTCATAGATTGCGGCGACTCTATTCGAAGCTCAGAACAGAGATGAAACTAGACAAGGAATTTAGAAAAACAACGCAATTTAGAAACGAGCTCAATGACAACATCAATGGAGGAGAGAAATGCAACAAGCTATTTGCTCTGATACGATATTGAGCATAGAAATGGAGAAACATAGTAGAATCTCATTTTATTCTCGAAAATACAAGCAAAATAGCTATAACTAGCTAGACAACAAAAAGTCAATTACATAAAATTCAGCTGGCATTTATCAACTTAACATAAGAGAATGAAACTACATACAAGCTAATACTATACTCTAGGACCTCAACTTTATAAGCTTTTTAGATGGAACCACTTTCTTCTCTAATTATAATATCACCACCGATGGTGTTGCAACTCCAAACTCCTCATATTTTTTCTGAAAAAAAAAATACACTAGATCCTCCTCAATAAGATCCTTGTCTCCCTAACCAAACTTATCATCCATCTCATAGCCTCTGCCACTACATCTAGTGAAGTCTGGATGCATCTTGATTTTTTCTTTTCGAAAGCTCCCATTCTCATATAATTCATCTGAAGTACAAATTATCTAAGGTAACCCATGAAAGCCAGCACATAGCTTAATTTCTACTCAAATAAGAAAAAGAAAAATCCAATAAACTCTCTATCCTTATGCCTCACTTAGTTATGATGTGGACTAGTTTCTGTGCAAAAGGAATTTGTTGATGCCCTACGAACAAGGTTTGTTTCTCCTGCTCATAAACTCTCCAACAATTAAAGCTCGAACTATGGTACTCAACCATCAGCCTCTGTAACATAGGGGATTTTGTCGAACTATCTAATATTGTATGGACTCTTTACGGCCTACTGGGTCCCTCTCTTGATTCCATCTCAATCTTGCCCTGAAGATGAACAAGGCTAAATGTTGATAAACTCTCCAACAATTAAAGCTTGAACTCTGGTACTCAACCATCAGCCTCCATATATAACATAGGGGATTTTTTCGAACTATCTAATATTGTATGGACTCTTTATGGCCTACTGGGTCCCTCTGTTGATTCCACTTCAATCTTGCTTTGAAGATGAAAAAAGCTAAATGTTGAAGCTATGGATGTAAAAATACATATGTAGAGAGTTTTCCACGTTAGAAAGAAGTCCCTTCAAAGGCAATAGTAGATGGAGTGGCGAGAATGTCAACTCAAGTAACATAAACAGTAGTAGAAATCTAATGCCTCAAAAGCCCATGGATTCCTCCGCAAGGTTTGTCCACGGAAGGTAAGTTAGGTCCTAAGTTCATGCTAGAAGCTCAATCGATGAAAAAGAAGTGAATTTTTTTGTATAATCTTGTGTTGGTTTCATGGGATAGAGTAGGCTAAGTTAGCCAAAAGCAGGTTATCTTTTTAGGAATATTAGGCCCCACTGGTTTGGGGATTTTTTTTTTAAAATTTTTTTACAAGGTTTAATAATGCACGATTTTTTTTAGTACTCCGATATTTTAACAATTAAGTGTACTCTTGTTCCCTTTATTTGATATTTTTCCCCATTTATTTTTTGTCAAATAATATTTTTAAAGAAATAAATATTGTGTAAATAGTCATCAAAGGAGACTGTTGTAAAACAATCAATAATCATTATAACTATTTGTGTCTTAACATGACACTTAGACAATAGTTCTACCAAATCTAGAAGTTTTTGCCCCTATTTCGTATAATAAATTTTGAGTTAAATGTTTCATTAGCCACTGAACTTTAACCTATGTCACGACTTACTTACCGAACTTTCAAACTTATCCCATTAACCACTGAACTTCAATCCGTTAATGTCCATTACTCACTGGATCAAATACGTTAATTGACGTGTCTACGTGGCAAACGAAAAATCTAGCTGGCCGGTTAAATCTTTACAAGTGTTAAATGATTTGCCAAATAATCGACCACATCATTATCAAACACACGCCATCCCCAACTCTATTACACGCCTTTCATTGAACAGGCTTCCTCCATAAAATTTCACTCACCGAAAATGCTAACTTTCAGGGAAGAAAATGAACCCTAATCGAAATTGAAACCCTAAATCCCCCAAATCTAAACCCTGAGCTCGAAACCAAGGTCCTTCGCGCCATTGCTAAGTACTCAAACAGCCTACGCAAGCATGAAGAAGCAGCTCCCATTCC